AAAAATGGAGTCCTGGGTGCCTAGTAGGTCCAAAATGTTTTTATCTCTCAGAGTGAGCAATCCCAATGGTCCCTAGACAATGGGTGTGGAAAAACAGGATATTCTGAATTCCCAGATCCATGAACCCAGAGAGCACTCTGACCTTGGAGCTGGGAATCGGTCTCCCTTCCCACACCCTGCCGCACCTGGCATGTAGGGAACCTCACTGGTTGTCCTCTGAGGTTGAGAGGATTACATTTGCAGGGAGGAAAGGCCATGATACAAGCTATCCCGAGGTGTTTCCAGCCATCTTCCTTTCCCTTCCAAAATGCTCCAACTGGGAGGTGATGGCTGTTCCCTGCTCCCCATCCAATGATCACGAGCCACGGAGCTGGACAGCCTGCAAGCATCGTGGTGGGGCTGCCCCCTAAGAAACCTTAGCGTTAAAATCGATGCTGCAGCCCCTGCGGACTGGAAACGCACAGATGCTGCACAAATACTGCAGCTGTACGATGCTGTCGGGGGTGACTTGGCTGACGGCGCACCAGCAATCTGTGCAGGCAGTGACGAGCTGATGGCACAGTCGCCAGATCGCAGTAAAAATAGTAGTTGGCTTTGTAAAAATCTGTAAATAGAACTCCAGGAAAGCAAGACGGCCACAACAGCAGCAGCACAGCTAAGGTCAAAGCAGAGAGCAGACACTGATCCGATGGCCCGGCGGCCTCCAGCATCAGCCAGAGCATGTGCGATGTTGTTTCTCCATTGTCCCGAGGAAGCAGGAGGAGGACACCAATCCCCAGGAAATGCCGTCATCACATCATAAAGATTGCCCTGCTGCAGCCGAGAGATGGATTTCCAGCTTTCCTGGGAGAACTGCAGGACCAATTTTATGGAAGGAGGGTTGAAAAATTGCCCGGAACTCAAAAGAGAGTAAAGGGAAGAAAAGGGAAGAAGGAAAGAAGCGTGAAGTGCCTGCCTTCTGGATTCCGCCCCTCCCTACCAGCTTTTATCACAAAAGAGAACAAGGGTGGAAAGTCCCAAAGAGGCTAACAGACAAGCCATCACAAGCACATCACTTTCTCCTTCCTGTTTCTAGTGATATAACTACTTTTGCTTCATACAGGAGTCTGTGGTTTTTGCATTTGCTAACTAAAACATGCTCCTACCTGATTTGAAGCACTAACAAATCATTTCAAGTGTTGTCTCCTTTTGGGAAGTAGGGATCCACGTGAAAACTAGAAGCACTCAGCAAGACGCGAATCGCCTTGACATCTGGCACATTCTCGCGTTACTGTGGCCTGCCCTCAGTGAAAAAGTCAAGCTGTCTGAACTGAACTATCTCAAAGGGCAGGTGGGACTAGCATGAGAGAGTGCTCCACGTATCGCATGGGAGGAAACCTCAGCAAGAATGCCTCTTGCGCAGCCATTGCTTCCTTCAGGAAGGCTTCTTATGTGGCCCCGCAAACCCTTATGTGGCCCTGCTGAGTGGAACGGATTGTATCTTCAGCTAGTTCGAAGCATAGTCTAGACTTTGGAAGAGAGGATCAGGCGAAAAGCCTGCATGTACCGGTGAAGACTGCTTTATGGCAGGTTATAGTTCACGCTGGGAGCTTTGGAGAGATTCATTTTGGATTTCACTATTTAGGAGTGCATAATCAATTCTTTACTAAATGCACTGGACCATTCTCCTCTAATCAGCCTTATTTATTTATGCATTTATTAATTATATTTTCATTGGCGCCAAAACAAGCCTTCCCTGGTTGGGTTACAAGCAGTTAAACGAATATGATCCAATATAAAACCAAGAAAGATCACAGGAAATATATATGTGCATAATACATAACAACATCCATAACATCTAAAATGCCTGGGAAAAAAGGAAAGTTCTTGAAGATAACAGTGTCGGCGGCAGACAAGCCTCAGCCTGAATTCTATTGCCTCTTCAAAGGCCTGGAGCTCTGCCATTCCAGGACTGAGTCAGCCACCAGGATCCTGCGGCTCGCTCTGTGCAAGGCAGTCGAAACAAGCATCAGTGGACGACCGCAATGGTGGAAATCTGACGATGGGATTCCCGTAGGGTCAGGAGATGCTGCACCAGGAGAGCGGGCTTGCACAAATGTACCTCAGGTTGTGATCTGCCTGTTCCTACCTACGATGGGAGCTGAAGGAGGACGGGAGAAATCTTTTGCTGCCGTTCTTTTCAAGGCTGCTGTGCTTGGTCCGTGGAAGCTCTGTGAGTATCCTGGGTCACAGCAACTAGGCAGAACTAGTCCTGGAAGATGAGGGGATGACCTCCTCCAATTAAGTTGGTCAGACCTTGCCTCCTGTACAAGGGGATGAGCTTCTTCCTAAAGAACCCAAAATTTCCACTGTGGCCAGTGAAGAGTGTGGATATACTATTCCAAGAAGTTATTTTTTACTTAATTTAAATCAACTCCTGTCTTGACAGTTACAACCATCACTTCAGCAGGTTCTCAGAGTGGCTTGCAAAAAGTTAAGATTACAATAAAGCAAATGAAAACAAAGAACCTTAACACATATGCAACTTGGGTGATCCATCTTGTCTCTCTCTCCCCTTCCCCCCATTCTGTTGCTCTAAATAGTTAAAGAAGTGTAAGGAAACAACAATTCTATACTCAGCATTTAAAATGATTTTAGAAGTTCCAGAAATATTTACTATGTTTTTCAGAGAACCTTATTTCTCACTAATAACAAAAAGACACATAGTTCTACATGCAATTCCAAATGCAGCGTAAATTTCTGGTTTTGATGGTTACTGTTCTGCTTCTAGTAATTGCAGGGTTACTGAATACTGAACTGTGATTAAGAGGTTTTAAATGCCATCAGCATAACTCTCATAATGATCAGAGGGTTTTTGGATTGCAGAAGGCCAATCCAGCCATGGGCTCAATAGCTTCCAGATGCTTCCAGAAGTATAGTGTGATAATCACAAGGACTGAGGGAACTTTCAAAAGTCAGAATTTAAAGGCTTTTCCACAGCTGAATCAGTAACTCCGATCACATTAGATCATCCACTGGGAATCTAAATAGAGAATAAAGCCCAAAAGGAAATCTTTCTGAAAAATAATTCTCTTACTAGAGAAGATGCATGTGAAATTCCAGAATCTGTGATGAGAATATTTGCTGTCCTGCGTCTCAACCACCCAAGTCCCCACAACCCTCTTCTGCTTGGAATCTCAGTGTGCATCAACTTAACAGCCCTCTTACAAGCAGTAGATATCACATGATAAACTGGATCGGTTGCACTGCCTGGAGTGCACATTAAAGACAGCTTTATTTTCCTCTGCGCTTACTGGCTGCCCAGGGGCAAGCTTTAAATGCCATCATGTCATTGAAAAATGCCCAGCATCTGCTCTGCTTTAGCTCCAGAGCTTCACTAGCTGTCCACAGAGTAACCACTTACTCAACTAGAGTTTCAGTTTTTAAACTTTTAAGGGTACCCGAAGTGATATTCTAGCTTTACATAAAAACAGTGCTGAGTGGAAAGAAAATGCAAGAAATCAGAATAGCAGATTCATGAAAACTCAACCCGAGCAGTTTAAGTAACATTGCAAGCTATGAGCACTTCTCGGGTCTAATTATTTAGACCTAAATCAATTTCACCAAGTATGAATGGATGAGCCGGCTGCCTGCTCTCTCGCACTGATGACAGCAATGTTAATTAGGCCTTGGACCTGACTCAGCCGTGTTTCAGGGACCACCAGCTCTTCCTGAGGGGCCCTTGTGACCTCAATGAAAACAGCACAAGGAAACAATGAAGAGTTTGTTTCTTTGCTTCATGCTGATTCAGCAACCTTTTCCATTTGAAACACAACACTGAAGAGAATCTTGTTTCTCTAGCTGTACACGTTTCTGCAGTGCAAAGTGAAAAGATGCGGTTATGGCACTTCCTCATCTCCTTTTGCTGGATTGCAGCAGAAATCTTTCAGCAAGGGCCACCCCATTCAATGGCAATAGCCATGTGACAGACCATTAAACTGACATTGTGATCCCCGGTGCCACAAAGATTAAGAGCCACGGCTTTAGGCATGCGCACCAATCACCTCTGCACCAGAATAATGCCCAGGCAAAAGAAAGTCCTGAATCCAAACAACCAAATGTCTATGCTGCATTTTCCTTCTGCACCAGTTCAAGACTTTGAGATTTTAGAGCTCATCCTGGAAAAAGTCGATGTGTCCAAAACACAGTGCTAGAGGAGAGCACTGTTTGTGAATACCCAGGACCAACAGAGAGACAAATAAGGAGGTCCCGGATCACATCAAGCCAGACCTTGTTCTGGAGGCAAAAACGACAAAACTGAAGTGGCCATACGTCGGGCATATCATGAGAAAGCACCGATGACTCACTGGAGAGGACAATAACGCCAGGGAAAGTCAAAGCAGAAGATGATGCTGAACACTAAGGAGTCGATTCATTCCGTCAAGAAAGCCACGGCCTCACAAGAGCTAAGCAGGGCCGTCAAGGACAGCCACTTCTGAAGGGCATTCATTGATAGGGTTGCTCTAAGGCAGAGACAACTTGACAGCACGGGACAACAACAACAACCATTTGGATTACACAACTAGATGGACTGTTAAGACTATAGGTCAACATGGCTATAGAAGTTGGACTACTATTTCAAAAGGAATGCATTCAAAGGGGAAACCGAGCTGCAAAAGAGCCATCCCTGACGGATGAATTAGGGTAATGATGGGTCAGTTCATGTAACAACAGACCACAATTTCTCCCTCACGTGCCTCATGGTGGCCAGGGTCAAACAAAAGCACAATTCTGAGTCAGTGGCTGAAAATGCAAGATGCCAGTCAGCACACACTGACATGTGATGCACTCACCATGGATCTTCACACCATTAGAGACCCAAACTGACCAATCCAAGTGCGGGGGGAGGAACCCTCAGCTATTCTTAAAAAAATAGGCTTCAACTTATCAAAGTCCCTATGGAACAAGCCATTCAGCTCATCCTTAAAAATATAGGAGGAAAACCATAAGGACAGCGATACCTGCAGTCAGATCCATCAGATCATTCTCCGTTCCTTCATTTGCCAGTGCTGCGTTCTGTTCCCCTTTCCGATTCAGCACCTTAGAAAAGCTGTTTGAGAGTGTGGAGAAGAACCCACGGGTGAAATAGCTGTCCTGCTCGCCACCCTCTAGCTTCGTGCTTCTCTCTCTCCAGTGTGGTGCAGGCTCAGATAGAGACCTGCAGAAGGGAGTCCGGAATGGCCTGTTTACGGGCATGGCTGCCATGTCTCCTGGGTCTTCTTTGTGCTCCTCACCGAGCGCAGTGTGTACGCTCAGTGGCTGTTCAACAGTCTTCGGTGCATCTGCTCTCTTGGTCACCCTCCAGTGAAGTCTGGGATGAGTCTGCCATCGGTAAGCTCCAAGCAGCTTGGCTAAATCTGAGCCTGTTTCTTCACAGAGCCTCTTGCTTTTCACTTGATGGCACCAATGATAGTCCTTCAGATTAGCTCTGAGCCTAGAGTCGCCATCCTGCTCTGACACTGATCTGCGAAAGAGTGCCGAAGGAGGACTGGAACGCTTCTTGAATACGTTCATCTTCTGCCTGACTTGCCTGCAGCAAAGCTGGCGCACTTCGGTGAAATGGTAGTGGGTGTCCCTCTCGAAGAACATGGATCCTTCGGGTCTCGTTCCAATCTGTGCCTGTCCCCCAGCTGAACCTACGCAAGAGTCTTCTCCCCTGAGATTCAGAGACAGTTTGTGAAGTCAATTTTCAGTTCCTGGGTTGCATGTCTCTGCAGCAGACATTCAGGAAATGACAAAAAGGAAAAAAAAAGTAGCAAAATCCCACAAATTAAGTGCGAGGCCAGTCATGCTTCTGCCACTCATTTTGTAACCGTGAATTAAAAATAGAATGCGAAAGTACCTTTAACTTCCACATAGCAGTATCAAGTAAAACTGAAGAGCAAACCACAATCTTCTAGTGATAAAAATAGGGTGCATCAAGATGAGGGTTCGCGCAAACACTAGCTGAAGATCCTTCAGTTCCTGAGCATTCTATCTTTTACCATGACAGTCTTCAAATCCAGAATGGGAGAGCCAAATCCATCGAATGCAAAGCAGCAGATCTCCCAGAGATGTGCATGAATGCAGCGCAGCAAGGGAAAGAGAGCAACAGCTGAGAGAAGTAATACTGCAAATACTGAAGGAAAATATGCACATGGGAGGGGTGGGGGGGGGGAGGTGGTGTTTAGTCAATCACTGACCGAAGCAAAGCAGCAGACCACTTTGAGGCAAGCTCTTGTGGCAAACGGAACATGGAAATGTGCATATTTTTAAAGTGAGCAGGGGTTTTTGTTTTCATAAATCTAATTGGAGTCAGTAGACTGGAAAGTAATATTCCTATCTAGTTAAGTAAAAGAGAAGTGGCCACCTCAACAAGTTAAGGAACAGCTGACGATATTAAATTTGCTAAAGAAAACATATCTGCTAATAGATGCAGGCCAAGTTTCAGACCAGATTGAAGCAATGTGCTCAGAAGCCCCAGAAAAATATGGGGTTGTAAGTGGAAATGCTGACAAGCCCCTGGCATTCATTTCTGCAATGGCAATCATGATGCCTTCTGGTTATTTCAAACAATCCTTTAGCTTGGCAGACTAATCCAAATGCACCAATCCACCAAGAAGCCCTGGGCAATTGCCCTTTTGTCGGCTCGGTGGTGAGCCTTCTGACCCATTTCCTCAAGCAAGACCACACGTGCTATTTGCATGACGCAGACTGACCCCCTTCCCTTTCCACAAAAGACGGGAGGTAGACCCTGTGGATCATGCTAGCAGGAAAAAAAGCAGGTCTCCAGTGGTCACCTGTGAGCATACGAAGTGGCTTGTGGGGAGTCAGGCCACAGAGCCCCGAACGTCAACATTAGTCGGTCCGTGGGCTGGAAGGCGCCCACTTGTGATGCTCACCTTTGTAGTTGGGTATGGCGGGTGCATCTTCACAGGCCAGGATGCTGAGCCTCAGACCGGTGGACCCAACTTCTGCCCACTCGGCTTATTCACCAACATTACGACTTCTAAGGTAAAGCACGCTGGCGTTCCTGGCATGTTGACACCACCCATGTTGGTTTCGTCCATTCCTGGGACTGGAACGCTGCCCCGGCCACTTTCCAAAATCGCTTTCAGCCCTTGAGCTGAAAGAGACTTAATGGCTCCTTTAAAGAGGCACGGTTTTTCTTGAATTCTACTGAGTGGCTACTAGCACTCCAAAGGATGAGTGACTGAAGAAGTGAAGGGTCATTTAACTGTCTGTTCTGATGGATTAAAAGCTGCCCAAGAATCACACCACCTTACAGGGTCTGTTTTTTGAAACTAGTGAACTATTTAGCCAGGGCAGTTTCCAGCTGCATTCTAGAACTGTATTTGAATTATTATGTATGCACTACCGACAGCAGTCAGAAAAGGGGCCATCAAATCTGTCCACACACCAACTGAATGCAAAGTCTGGGCATCTTTTTGGAAGATTTTAACAGCATATACAATTGCTGTGTTGCTTTGTTTTGAAAACTAAATGTACATTTATGATTGGAACATGACATAACCATTATGAAGAGTACCTTGATACAGGAAGCAAGATGGAAGCTATAGTCTGAAGTGCCTGCGTAAGCCTTGTCTCATCTTGGAAACTTAAGCAAGGTCAGCCCTGGCCAAAATCTGGACGGGAGACTTGTGTCCTGCACTGAGCAGCGGGGCTGGACCCAATGGGCTCCTAGGCCTCCCCCAACGATTCACTTAAAGGAAACTCTGCTGTCCGCAGCCCTTCATTCTTCAGAAAGCACCACAGCCAAAATTCTTACCCGGAGGAAAATGGAGTGGGAAGAGAGAAGCTGAAGTTCATAAAGTGTTGAATGATCTTTGTAGTCTTTTTTGCATTTTTATTTGGTTTACAAAGAAGTATTTGCCATTAAACTGTGAGCTGTAGATGCTATTTAGGGAGAGAGGCACCACATACTTTGCAAAGAAGGCAGTGGGAGAGATTTTCTGCAAATGAAACAACGGCATGCTTCATGCCCTCCTCGAATGGTTGAGCAAATTGGCTGCCAAGTATTCTAAAAGTGATTCACTGCTGTCTCATCCACATCTACTACAATTTAGCACGGATTACTCAGCAGCGAGCAATAATGCATGACAAACAGTGGCCGCTACTTTGCAAAGCAAGTTTGGCCGCAAACCCTTCAACGTTCACTGCAGCTGCATTAATAGGGATGTGTTTTCTTTTAGAACAATCCCATTCCATCACTCATTTAACTGATGCATCTTATGTGGGAATCAAATGATGTGCTCCTGCGTGCTTTGATGGACCAGGTTTCGGAAACAAGCTGAGAACCATGGGGAAGTTTTTGCTGTTCTTCCTTTTTCAGACCAGCATGACTTTATCTCTGAGTAAATGTAGATGAAGAGTTGCAGCCACTGCCGCTGCATGTTTAGGTTTGACCAAAGCAGTTTCGCTTCAGGCAAAATGTCCATCCGCAGAGGCAGCCAGCACCAGCGGGACAGCTGCTGGTGAGCAGCAGCAAGACAGCCAGCGAGGGTCTGAGAACACCATGTCCATGGCTCTCCAGAGTTCCCTCTGGCCCTCTTGATGTCATCTCTGTCACTGGGGCAGGAAGAAGAGGCTTCCGGTTCTGAATGCAATCAACACAAACACTCCATCGTTAGCTATACATCTGTCCCTCTCTCCTTGTGGAACCGGCTTTTCCGATTCGATATTCCAATTGTCTACCTTGCTGACGGACCTTTTATATGAATGGTTCATTCAGTGATGTAACAGCCTGAGAGTCTTCAGAGGAATTATTCGTTAAATACTAAATTATTAGTTAAATGCTGTGCCCAGAGACACGGGACTGCTCTGCGGTGGAGGACAAGACTGCCTCCTACCCGATGTCCCAGACGGCGGGCGACCATCTACCCCAGTACCGTCCCTCTACTTTTCTCCATGCTGGAAGGGGTCCAGAGCTGCACCATCTCCCAGCATAAAAAGGGTCTGGCTGCCCTGCAGACGGCGGCAGTGACGCCTGGCCATTGGACCCGCTCATCCCGGGAAGAGCAGCATTCCTCCCCACCCGCTGCTGCTCCCAAACAGAAGCTGCAGCAACGAGGACTGGGACTCGCCCACGCATGGGGCAGAGCGCTCGGCTCCCCACTCGGCCGGGGGAACGTGCACGGGCCTGCCTGCAGCAAGGGGGCGACGGTCCGTGCAGCCCCAGGCATGGCGGGTGGCTGGTGGCCGAGCGCACTGCACTTCAGGCGGCTTTCACATTTGCAGCTGCCAGAGAGAAGAGAACGGTTCCTCCTTGCAGCTTCCCTGGGATGCCCCGGGAGGAACAAGGGGGAGGAGGCAGGGAATTAATTCTGTTTCCCTCTTCCTTCCACCTTCCTTTTTCCTGCTGCCCTGTATCTGCCTTGACTAATTCTGCAGGCAGAAACTGTCCTTTTTAACTGCTTATGTATAAACCACTCTGGGAACCCTTTTGGCTGAAGGGCAGTATAAAAACACTACAAACAAACAAACAAACAAACAAACAAACAAACCACAAGCTCCAAAAATTAAAACCAGGAACTGGCAAGCTGCAGAGATCCAAGAGCAGGGTTCTCTTCATAGCTGGTTCTTACTGTTTAGTAGAGCCACTGTACCCTGTGATCCATATAGTTGCACCATGATTAATAAAATTGCTACACACACACACACACACACACACACACACACTTTTATTGAAAGCTTCCCTTCCTCCACATCCATCGGGATGAATGTGCTTAGGACCTGTGTGGGAGAATTCCAGGCAAGGAAGCAGCGATCACCAAGGAGCAACAGCACCACTGAGTACCAGTGGGAAGGGAGCATTCCTCGTTGGCTCCCATGAGACTTTCAGTTCCTCTCCGAACCCCAAAGAGGAACCTCTAAGGAAGCTCTGATGGGTTCGCAGTACTGTTTCTGCCCTCTCCCCCATGCGCTGTATGTGGGGCAAAGGGAAGGGAGCTGGCGGTCTCTCAAGGCCACCTGAAAGCTCTTACCTGTGGTCAGCGGACAAATTCCCAAATGGGGACTGCACAGCATCCGTGCAGGGTCGTCCAACCAGTCGCTGCTTATGCCTTCCAGAAACATCAAAGAAAACCTCTTCTTGGGGCAGGAAATTCTGCTGTGCCTCTGCCACAGGGGATGGGTGGTTCCTGATCACACCAGTCTCAAAGAAGTGGCCAAATTATTCTCACTCTACCAGGATTTTGGACGGAAAAAAGCCAGAATGCTGAATCACACAGAGCCAAAGCAGCTTCTTTCACCCATGGAAGCCTCTGACTTTTCTGTAGGGGCAGCGCTCTGGCCCACAGCTCCCATCCGCCCCAGTCAGCATACCACTGGCAAGGGACTATAGAAGTTGTGGGTCAAAACATCTGGAGGGCCACACAATGCCCAATTCTGGCAGTTTCTCCAGAAACTGCAGCACACACAGGGAAACGACCGAAATGTTTGGTATTGCTGACTTCGGTCAATCTTTCTCGAAGAATTCTTATCTAGGATTTAGCTGTACTGCTTTCAGAAACTGAGAGTACACCCACATAGGAAGGAAGGATGCTGGCTTTTGGCTTGAGTAGTGCCTGGTTTCATGCGAGCTTCAATTCACAGCCCCAGCATGGTTTAGGGAGTATTTCAAAACCAGTAGCCAAAGTATTTATCATCACTCATGGAATCTGCCTCGTTTCTTCAATTCCCAAAGGTGTCTGCTGTCTGCTCACTGTAATTATTGCTATCCAAGCGTTTTATAACAATGGAAAGAAATGTTTTCTGCCAGGTTCCAGCAACAAGAATGAAATCATTCTCTTTGTACAAGAACAGGATCAATATAGATCCAAGCTTTGGCTAACTTAGTAGAACTCGCAGTAGAATCAAAGACATGAAAGCCAGTGGTTAATCAAGATCTAGGACTCCCTGAAATAACGAGGAACCACGGATAGAAAAAGGACTGAAATTTCCACCCATTTAGAAGGAAAGTCCCTTCTTTTTGCACATGATTTTGGTGCAGATTCCAAAAGGCGGTGCTGAGATCAAAGCCACGAGATTCTAAGGCACAGATCTGCTTTCACATGGAAGTGATTATAATGCCAGCAGAGCAGCTGAAAAATTAGTCAAGAGAGACAGAACCATTTGTGCTCTTTCAGTGCGCATTCTTCAAGGTTGGAAAAAACCGAAAGCCATAGCCGCTTCTCCATATGGTATTATATGCATGGACTTTTCCGCATGGCTGTGCAGAGAAACTCACTGGCTGCGGCTGCAGCTTATTGCAGCTCATCATGAATCTGCTTGAGAGGGCTCTTAGCGAGAACTGTGTTTCAAGCCCCTCTTGCATTTCAGTCAAGAATTCACCAAGGCAAAGAAGATCAGAAGAACAAACCACTCCGAGGTGACCGTGGTAACACTGCTAGCAGTGTGGAGTGTTCAGATCTAAAATTCCTGAGGCCTGCTGAAGATTAGTGAGGAATGACCGAATTTCTAATGCAACTCACTGGTAACTGCAGTACTGAGGAAAGGCAAAACTCTCACATATCATCTGGCCTTGTTTATTGCATGCATTTCTGTGTGGCCCGATAGGCAGGTCACAGGAATTATAGAACGAGTTTGAAAGAAATGAAGATCCATTGCTCGCAGGAACAAGCTCTTCCAGCCAAAGTATCCTCTGCAGTCTTATGCTTACGTGTCAATGAGATGCCATGATCCAGTTGGCTTGCAGGAGAGTGCATGGAGACCCTTCTTCACATGGATTTTCTGTCAAGTTGACTTAAAGGCCCAAATATGTGGCCATATCTATTTTTCCTGGCTGGCTCAGCATCAAACCCAAATTCATTTCAAGCACACACCCTTATTTCTGCAGAACCAACATTCTGAGACCCCTTTTTGGGTTCCCCACCCTATGAGGCCTGATACGTAACTGATCTCTTTCCTGTGTTGGGCAAAGACCTTTTTCCACTAGAATTTTCAGCTTTTGTTGCTGTTTCATCAGGAGGTGATTTTTTTAAATTTTATTTTATTTATTTAGACAACTTATATACAATTGTTTTTAAACCTTGCTTTAAATTCATTGGTTCTTTTGTGGTGTTTTATCTATTCTCAATAATAGTTAAAATTCTTGAAGGGCTGGGTTTATTGATGGAATTATATTGTGCAGCACTTTGAAAAACTGGATTGGAAAGCCAGTGGTGATCTCAAAGGCCACCCATATATTAAATTAATAGCTGTATATGTTTTTCCCAGAGCAAAAAAATCAGAAGGGTCAAGAACTAATTCCTAGACACCCACTTCCTTTCTCCTACTTGTGGCTCCATCTGTTTCCCAACTGTGATCCTTATTTTAGATAAGCTCTCCTTTTCTTAGGGAAGTCTACAAAGCCGTACCTGCCGTGTTCCAGTGAAAGCATCACCTTTTCAAACATTGAGATCAACACTAAAAAGGTCGTCCGAGTAAGAACTCGTCAAATTTAGGAGCTGCAATGTAAGGTGAGGAAATCTCAGAATATAGTTGCTAATAGCGCTTCTGACATTTATCACTAAGAAACCATGTTCACAGGCAGGATCAATTTGTAAGCAGTCACAGCTGTGATTCAAAATTTCTGCACAAGCCAGGAAGCTACTCTGACTTCCAGGAAGACAAACACGGCTGAACAGTTGAGCACTTTAATGAGACAGATGGTAAGATAAGCCCAGTTCAGTCTTCAGTCATGATTATTTTGCTTCCTGGTATTCTCAGAATCGATGTTCCTCAGTCCTTCACTTTCTTTGTCTTCGGTTGTTGTGAAACAAGAACAATATAACCGTTGGCTTCAAAAGGAAATAAAACTGAACTGTTATTTTCTACTCTGATTGTCTTACTTTTCGATATAAGATTTAAATATATAATATTTCTTGGTTAAAAAGTTCTCTTACAGCACTTTTTACATCAGTGTAAAACGTTGGCGTTAATGAAACCACAAGCTCTGCACTAGGACTGAAACACTGCTATCGCTCACAGTCCTGATTCGTCGACTGGAACAGCTCCTGTGCGGGCACCCAGGCTGCAGCGCTTGGCAGAAGCAGCGGCAGTGAAGAGCAGTGAAAAAAGCTGGGCTGTAATGCAAGGTAGCGATGCTTCAGTCCGTGCACGCTCCCGCTGCTCCGAAGTACCACCTTGGTCCACTTGGCAAAAGAGGTGAACATTTCGCACAGTCGTAGCGACAGGCCTGGTCTGCCTGCCACAGAAGCAATTCCTGGGTTGTTCAAATCAAGAATTGCTGGATTTGCCCTCCCGCCCCTTGAGATCGGCAGTAGGGGCTCTCTTCTGGGAGGCTTTCGTAAGAGATATCAGGAGGCAAAGTACCCGGAGGAGGGCCTTCTCTGTGGTGGCGCCCCATCTGTGGAATGCGCTCCCCAGAGAGGTCCGCCTGGTGCTGTCGTTATTTGTTTTTCGGCGCCAGGCCAAGACCTTTCTATTTTAATTCATAAACAGTATTTTAATAATCTTTAATATTTATAGTTTTAATTGTGCAGCCAGTGTGTTTTACTTGTAATTGTATTGTTTTATTTATTTGATGTGAGCCGTCCCGAGGCTATGTAGCAAAGGGGACGGCATATAAAAACTTTAAATAAACAAACAAACAGACAAACGACTGGAGAGAGAGCTGCGCACTTCTAACTTCTACTATCAATTAATGTACGATCTTCAGTTCTCTGGAATACAGAAATGGCTTGATGAGTTGACAAAAGAGCTTATAAGGCTGCTTGGTACCCCGGAGCTGTGAGAGAGGAAGCAAAACTGGAAATGGCTTCAGTGCAGAATAAAGGGCAACAGAGGCAGCCGCCAACGCTGCAGGCTCCTTCCCGGGGCAGAGAAAGAGGCCAAAGGAGGCATCTCCTTGCCTCTACTGAATCCACTATGCGCCACCCGGTGGATGCTTTCGGGACTGTCCCTGACCATGCGAGGTCCTCCAGAGGCCCCCTGCCGCATGTGTGCGAGGCAACACCTCGTGCATCTGCCGGGCACCACTGCAGCAAAAGGCCTAGCCCAATTTTCTTGCAGGAATTTTAGCTGGAGCACTCAAGGACACTGACGAAGCGCTTGGACAGATTCACGCAGCTACTTCGACACTGGTTTTCGCCCCCTTGGCTTATACAAAGGAGCAGGGCATCAGCTGGGACAACGAGGTGTTAATGCCTCCCAAGTTGCCTGAAAGAGGTGGCATCGGAGCCATGCCTGAAGAAGTTGTCCAGGGACCCAGAAGTTCTCAGGAACTTTAGACTTTGGACGAAGGTTCCTTGCCTCACAAGGGGCCTGAGTGGGCACTTGCCAACCAGCTCCAGATGCTCTTAGATTATCTGAATTCATTTCAGCTAGTGTCCTGGCTGGACCAAAAATCCTTGGTTGCTCAGGTATGATGACCTTAGGAGAGGCGCAAGGGGAACATGGCCGTGCTGGTTCTCCTTGACCTCCCTGCAGCTCTTGATACAGTTGACCATGCTGCCTTTCGAGGGGATTGGCTGAACTGGACTGGGGAATCCTGCATTACAGCAGTCCCAGAAGGCGGTTGCTGGGGAACCCTGTTTCACCCTACGGATTGTCCAGTAAGAAGCCAATGAGTGCTACCACGGGGAATTTTGGTGCAAGTTTTCATCAGAATGCAGATGCCACGCAGCTTTATTTCTCTTTTTCATCTTCGCCAGCGAGACTGTGGAAGTGCTAGAACAGTCCCCCACTGCAACTGGAAAAGGGCTAATAAACAGAAGCTCAATCCAGTGAAGACTCAGATGCTGTTAATGGGTGGTTCTTCTGACCAGATGGAGGGTATTCATCCTGTACTGGGCGGGGTTGTTTCCCCTGAAGGAACAGGTCAATGCAGGGGTTCTCCTGGAGCCATGGACTCTCAGGAAGCTCCACTGGCAGAGAGCTTTCTGCAACCTTTGGCTGGGAACCAGCTATGCTCATACCTGGACAAGGAAAATCTAGGTTCAATTGTTGATACTGAGATTATTACAATGTTGTTCAGGAGTTGCAGCTTGTATGAAATGTGGCAGCCAGACTGATAACACAAACCCCAAGGTCCAAACATACGACCACCAATTCTGGCCTGCTTGAAAATTTCCGAACGTGACTCAAGGTGTTGGGTTTATCCTATCACGCCTGAAGAGCAAAGCATGCAAGAACCAGCTGGCCACAGAACCACAGAAATGGGATGCGAGTGGCACAGCACCCTCCCGCTCAAGTTCACGAGCAACTGGTGCACATGGACACACTTGTGCCTCTGATACTGGGGGCAGCATGTGGCCCCCATGACTCGTAGCCATTGATAGCCTTCTCATCCATGAATTCGTTCAATTCCCTTCTAAAGCCATTCAAACTGGTGGCCGTAACAACATCCTCTGCAAGTTAATTCCACAGTTTAGTTATGTGCCTTGTAAAGAAGTACTTCCTTTCATGGGGCCCCACACCAATCCGCTTCATAGGATGAGCCTGAGTTCTAGCACTACAGGAGAAACTACGGAGAAAAGGTCTCCTGAACACCTTCTCTACACCACGCGTAATTCTTTGATGCCACCTTTACTCGCCTTTTTCCTAAATGAGACAATCTCAGCTATTGTAACTTTTCCACACAGGCGAGTTGCTTGAAGCCCTTGATCATTCTAGCTGCCCTTTTCTGACCTTTTGCCAACTCTACAAAAGTGTTTTTGTAAGTGTGACAACCCAGAACTATACACATATTCTAAGAGGCATTAAACCATGCATTTGTGCAAGGGCAAATGATGATGGCAGTTTTATTTCCAATTTCCTTCCCGCTCTGCCTTCTTCAGAGCAGCCTCTCCTCTTATTCCATGACTGCTAATTAGAAACCCAGCTGCTTATGTATCTAATGATCAACTCTCCACTACCTTGAGCTCCCCACCCCACAAAGTGTGAGAGGATATCTGCTCGTCTTCCAAGGAATCATTCCCCTCCTTTCTCAAGTCCTGGCTGTCCAGAACGGCAGGGGACCTTCCACCCAGGAACGGGGACTGGGCTGCTTGGTTCCCAAGGAATCCGTAGGCAACCTCTCTGCTTCTCTGAGGTTCTCCAGGTCAGCAGCTTTGGCTTGAAGGGAACAAGCTTGTTCCTTGAGAACACGGAGGTCACTGCACTAAGCACACACCTACGACTTTTGTCCAGCTGGTGGACAGTCATTTGTGAAGCTCTCAGTGCAACACTCTGGATAACCCCCACACTTCCACTGGCTTTCTAGCTTTGGCACTGGGTTGTTTCTGTGCTGTTGAATCGGTATTATTGGGTTTGTTTTGTTTTCGTTTTGTTTGTTGAGCACTAGCAGAAGGTGGGGAACTCACCATTGGTTATTAACATACAATTAACAGTTGGCTGCTATAAAAAGGGAAAGCAGGCTTCTCTGTCTGGCCTCCTCATCCTGTTTCAAGCTCACACGGCTGCTTCCCTCATTTGCGTGCTGAGGCTCTGTTCTTTGGCTCGACCTGCTATATCACTGGGCTCTTGGCCCTACCGGCTTAGGACCGTAACATCTGTGGGATCGCCTCTCCCAGTGCAGCCATTATCAGCATCTGAGATCCTCCGAGTGTCACCTGCAGGGGAGGCTTGGAGGGGGACACCAAGAGAGAGGGACTTCTCTGTGGTACCCCCCCCCCACGGAAAGATCTCCCCACTGGATGGGACATCAACAGCATCTTCTTTTTAGCACCAGGTTAAGGCAGTCCTTTGCTACCAGGCAACTGATGTGATTCTAATATCAATTGTTTTATCAGGTCTGGTAACTCATTGTTACTGTTTTTAGCTGTTAATTTGTTTTTTTTTTTTAAATTGCATGTTATTTTCCAGACAGCTTTGACTAATGGGCAGTATGGCAATAAAGTAGCAAAAACAACCCAGGAATGCCCCCGTTGCTGGGTTGTTTTGTGATGTGCAAACCCAGGTTGTTTTTATGTGTTTAATAACCTGGTTACCTCAGTGATTGTCCATGGCCTGCCTGTTGGTGGGTTAACTCTGCATTGTTTAACCCATAAACAACCCAGCCTGAGTTTGCATCTCACGAAACAATGCAGCAACAGGGATCTTGGGTTGCTAACTGAAAGGGAAAACAACAACACTACAAGTGGCACACTCTGTTCGTCTCCACAATTCTTGGGATAAGCAACTCAGGCATGTGAACTGGGCAGGGAAGCTTATGATTCAAGGACTGACGTGGGAAAGCAAAACTGGAGACAAAGACGGTACATCAGGATGGCAGGCAAACGTGTTTGGATGCATGTGCAGCTCAGGGTGTGTCTCCATCACAAGTGTGCCAATGCCCCAGGAGTGTAATTAGCATTCAAACGAGGGCACGGTTTGCACTTCCCCAAGGAACAGTCACACCTCAATTAAGATTTCGCTAACACAGGATCACCCAGGTTAAACTACTGCTCTCAGGGGAGCAATGCGGACACCCGCAGAAGGTGACTTCATCGCTTCTTTGTAATGTACCTGCCTCGACAGTGGGGCTGGGTTTTCTCCCTTCTGCTCAGGCAGGTAAGCGGTGATGGGCTCATTCGAAAGAGAAAGACGAGAGCAAACCCTCCCAAACCTGTCCCAATAAAATTGCGTGTGGCCTTACATGCCGATCTTCCAGCCAAGGACAAAGGAACAGATTCCCTCACTCCACCCCATTCCTTAGTCAGGTCCTGTTCTGGCCTGGAGGAGAAAGCAGCCCACGGAAGCATCGGCCTCATGCCCTGGCAACCCGACGGGCGCTCGGCAGTGGCGTTACTCCTCCCCGGAAAAATCTAGAGGGGGAGCAGAGAGCGATGTCTGCGTCAGAAGGCAGCCCCGACCCAGCCACACGCTTGTCCGGAATGCTGCCTATTATTTTTTCCTCCTCCTCATTATTATATGTTGCCCTTGGCTAGCTACAGGGAGCATGACTCGCTTGCTGCAGCAGCTTCCCTGGCTGCCTGTCTGTTTCCAGGAAGAATTCAAGGCACTGCTGATGACCTACACAATTCTATACGGACGGGGGAAAGACTGCCTGAAAAACTCTCCTCTTAGGAGCCTGCCCAGTTCCCAGCATCTTCTGCGGAGGACCTCCTTCCAAGGCCGCTGACTTGGCCGCCACTCTCCGTGCTGGAGCTCCCCCCTGCTAGGTTCGTGTCCTCTGCACTTGCCTTCTGTGGCAGCCCATGGAGGTCTTTGGCCTGCTAGTGGACTTGCTACATGGGAGGCTGCACTTGTTCTGTAACTGCTCGATTTTATTGTTTTTAATGTATTGTTTTGGTGTCGCTGTAAGCCACCTTGTGCCATTCTTGGTAGAAGGGTGGGGTACCAAAGAGAAGGAAGGAAGGAAGGAAGGAAGGAAGGAAGGAAGGAAGGAAGGAAGGACTGTTGATATCAGACATTATAGCTTGATGAGGTACTTTCCCCAAGTCAGGCAATTATATTCCAGTCTGC